AGCTTAAAAACTCTTTTATGAAGGAAGGTACTTACGTGCTAGAGCTTCCAAAGATGCCTCGGGGTTGAAAAAACCGTACTTTTGCAAGTTCGCAATAGTCACTAGCAGCTTCGCATCGCGACTCTGTTTGGGCAGGCAACCAAATGCCTTGATGTGGCTAAAATCAACTAGCACAGACAACCTGGTCGTTTTGTTCTCTACAAGAAAGCAAAAAAAAAATTGTTAGCCTTAGTTATCAAAGAAGAGTTAAAGATAAAGGATGGGTAATCTGAGAATTAAAAAGGAAAACCTACTTGGTTCCCTAAATTTACAGACTTCGTCATACTCGAAGAAGAAAGACTTGGTTTCGTAAGCCCCGACATTGCTGGGGTAACCAAATATCCCTCCTTCGATCGTTGATCGCTTAAAGAGGTAGTATGAATCCTTGTCTTTACTCCTTTTTAGATAATTGATGCAGCCGAGTTCCATTGTTGTCGGTTCACCGAGGTTGTTTTCGCCAAATGCAATATACATAGTGACTACTATCATATATGCATTGGGCATCAACTGAAACGGTGCGACCTGGAAGTGGTTGAGAATTGACTTAATGTAGGGGTGGAGGGGTATCCTTATCTCGCATTTAAAAATTGCTTCTAAGATCGTAGCCATTCCCTCGAGAGGGTTCTAAGCAGTGTGCAACCTATGTTGGTAGATGTCTACGTTGATCGCAAATTGGTCTATGGCCTTTTATATCTCATCCCCTGTAACCATTGTTCATACCGCCAGCTCGGGACCTGTCGAGATGCTCAGTGGCCGTGAGCTTCCCTCTCCTACTATTCTTACCTCAGGAGTGTCCGTTGCTCTTAAATTCTGAAAATGTGTGACATGTAGAGGTGACTCAATTTCCGTACGCATTGTCTTGTACGACGACTAAAAAGCGTAAAAGAAACCCTAAACATTCTTCAAGATAGTTTTTTCTAGGATCTATGCCCTAAGTTTTTTTTCTCAAAAGTGTTTCTTTTCAAACACTACCCAAGAATGTTCATTGTCCAAACCCATCAGAAGTCAATACCCACCATTATTGTAAAAACCAAGTTTTCTAACAGAAATGAAAAAGAGAAAAGGAGAAAAAAATTTCCTTACCTCTGGATTGTTGGGAATGAACGTTCTGTCGTAACGATGAGTGCGCATCAACTGGGCAAAAAATTAACTGATTTCTTGAGTGCAAAATGCTATTTTTTCTCTCTAAAAGCGCAAGTTCTGTGAGAAACTTGGATTGAGCTTAGGGTTTTATAGGGAAGAATGTGATGTTTGGTTTCTTTTATAAGCGACGATTGGGCGGGATGCGTTTCTAGCCCTTAATAGCGACCACGTGTCGTCACTCCGTACGAAGAGTAACTGTCACGCTTCGTGGAAATCATTTGGCGTTTCCCTTCATTGAAATCGTCAAGCGACGACTTGATTATCTACTCTACATTAAATGCGCCCTCATCCGCATTTAAAGTCTTAAAAGAGAATGTTATTTCAGTATAACTTGTATTTAATGCTCATGGCTGACACTTATTGTGTAGAGGCATGTCTGTCAGATAAAGCTTATTTTATTGACTAAGACAGCTGTCAAGCACAACAGATAACATCTGAAAAGGTCGTTCGAATAAAACACTCTTCTTCATGTGTCAAGCCCAAAGCGAAGTGATTCTCAATTTTCAATAGTAAAATATTCAAGTGTTTTGAGGTCACGGATGATAGATAAAGTTCGATGCACATCGGTATAGCATTGATTGAGATCTGATGTAGGTTGCTGAACCTCATTGGAACGATCACCTCAGGTCGCTTATGTAGCATTTGAAGATCCATGTCGTGGCCTTCGCTCAATTTGCTGGTCAAGTTAAGTCAACAACCTCATGTTGTTTTGGCTGTTCTCAACCATTGGTTCGAGCAAGTGTTCCTCAAGACAAGTCAGATTGCGACATAATCGTGAAGTTCTCAAGATTCAATTCTTGAACCTTGAGAACTGGGGGACTTTTGTTATGCCTAAAAAATCATGGCTAATGTAAGCCTACATCAATTAGCTCCAATCAGAGTTTAGGAAGGCTTTGCGCCGTCTAGGGGTTGCCATGTCACTCCAAGGCAGAGAGAATATAGTTGTCACCAACCTGGCAGATTCAGGTTTTGTATATAAGTGAATGAGAGCAGCACACTTGTCCAAGCCCCAAGTAACTTAAGGAAATATCCTAAGTTATCAGCCAATGGGAGGCAAGGAAGGACTTGCACAGCACCTACCCACTTGCAGATTTGTAATCATTACCTTAAATTCCTCTACTATAAATAGAGGACTCCCCCTCTCATTTTCGGGATTCTGAGACAAAAAACTCACACTTTGATTATAATATATATCTTCTAAGCAAAGATAACCTGCGAGAACGAGATTGACTTAATATTCTATCTGAATAATCAGTCGTTATACCTGTGCTCGTTGTCTGTTATTCGCGACCTCTTGTAATCTCTCATATATAAAAAAAAAACAGTAGACATAGGACTTGCGTTAGGCATCCAAACCACTTTAAAAATCGTCTTTTATTTATTATTCAATCTCTGCATTAGATTATTATATTTATTCACATGTAATTTCTAAGAGTTACTTAGCACTTTGTACGTGCGAGTCATTGGTGTCATAATCAACCACCAATACATTACATCAACATTAGATATATTATAAGAATATACATAGCCAATAACTTGGAATCCGATACCAGTATATTTAGTAAATATTCTTCTTTCTAAAATTTAGGCAATAAATTAATTAGTCAGTTGGATTCTAAGTCTTGGTTTATGATGGAGAATCATTTCAATATACAAAATAAAGAACATCCTACAAGCAATCTCAGATCATATTTATTTTTTTCTACCATTAATTATGTTTACTTAAAGTCTTCTCATATTCCACTAATCACTGGTTTAACATATTCATATGCTGTTTCAATTTGACAATTTAATATTTGAGAAATGAAGGCCAAATAGTTAGATTTAGCTTGACTGGTTAATTTTCAAATGAAATTTTGGACTTTCTCAAATAAAATGTGATCAGTAGGCTAGCATGGTTCAATGTTTCTTCATATAATATTTAACTTGGGCTGGGTGCCAACTGCCAACTGTAATTCTGTTAATTTGAATTTATTTCATTAATCCCTTCTTAATATGAACCTTAATTATTTTTATAAATATTGATTAAAATTCTTTATTCTGATCCAGAGTGTAACATTGAACTCAAAAGGAAATCAATTTAGCCAATAAGCCCATTGAAGAATTGGGTCAAATCAAAACCCATATCCAAATGGTAATGAGCTAAAAAAGTTTAGAATATAAAATAATTTTTTTATTGATTATTTTTCAATAAACTCGTTGATAATATTTTAAGAACCACCCATAATCCTGCCAAAAGGGTCTTCCTTTTTTTACCCCCCCAAAATTTCGATAATTTTTTGTATTATTCATTTGTTTGATTATTATGTTAGTATATATTGAATTAAACAATTTGGTTAATTATTGTTTAGATTTGATTAAAATTATATGATTGAATTGATGAACTACTCCTTGACTCGGATTGGATGAAGTAAAATGAAAATTGTGAAACGTCAAATTCAATCGAGATCACATTCACATCAAAGGAAGACATGAAGCATGTGATGGGGTTGACATCATTTAGGGCAATTATGAAACTACCTTCCAATGGAAAATTGAAAATTGAAAATGGACTCTTTCCCCAAATGCATGCTTACAAACATTAATTCCAAGAATTGTGTATTATCAATTGCGTGATGGTTTTGTTTGTAATTTCTACGCCACATCCACATGATGATCAAGATCCTTCAACATGTGATGTGATGTGATGTGATGAAAATGGACTCCATCGTGTTCATGTTCATCATCCATTTATAGATTATCATCATTTTCATATCCAAATACGAAATATGTTTTCTGATCATTTATAAAGACGATGAAAGATATCCACATGAAATTTTGAAGAAGTTAAGAGATCGATTTTAGTGTGTTTCTCAAGGCTTATATATTAAAAATACACACACCAAAATCAGTTTTTTTTTTTTTTTGGGTTTAAGACCATGTATAAATACACCTCAATTGGTTTATAAACACAAAAATAAAATACAAAAATAAAAAAATTTGCTATATATTAGTCAATCTTCAGTGTAGAAGTAATTTTTTAATTGTGGACTAAGGTCAATGACTAGTCATTGGCTTAACAAAGTAGAAAAAACCAATTATTATTATTATTATTTTTAAATTGGTCATTGATTCGTTAAAAACTTTGAAATATCAGTTCGTGTACGAAAGTAAATTTTTAATGTATATATGTATAGTTAAATAAATTTATATGAATTGGTGAGTTTGTAAAGCTAAAAATTTACTACATTTTGGGATGATAGAGGTGATTTTTTTTTTTTTAGTAATTGGAGTGTCCATATCAATTTACGCGCACCTCAACTAATCTTCAAGATCTAAGATGGTCCTAAGGTTTGAACTTAAGTTTAAATTTAAGAACTCAAGGAAGTGAGTAAACCTCTTTAACTGTCAAGTTAATCTCTTGGAGTTATAGAGGTGGTTATTTTAGATTATTCAAATCTTGTTGATCCCATTTCGAAAGAGTTAAATTACAATAAAGCATAATACCTATCCACGAATACCCAAAGTCAATCAGATTCAACTATGTCCATAGAAGTTTATTATAAGAATGCATTATCCTCAATTACCAATAACGTAATTATTATTAATTCTTTGATTTCCCAACTCGATTGAACAAAATCACCAGCAAATTAAATTATAAAACAAACTTTACTAACTAATTAATGCATGTATAGCGAATTTATTGTATTTCTAGTATAATATAATGTCTATACCACAAACCTTTCTCATGGTATGCAGAAGTAAATTATGCTTTCTTCAACAAGAAGAAGAACTTCAACTAAATTATAGTAGGAAGTTTTAGAGAAAAAAAGGAAAAAAAAAAAAAAAGACAACTTGTACATTATATATCAATAATTAAGGTCTTGAGTAGACTTCAAACCCGGTTGAGAAATCGAAGGAATTGCTCCAATTATCGTTCATTAGATTTGCAGAAGCCAATAACTGATCGTGATTGGGCGCATATGAATCGAACTCTTGCAATTGGAACACCGATTGCCATGAAATATTTGGCAGAGTTACAGCCGCATGATCCGCCCACGGTAAATTCGGAACAACAACTTCATCATCTAGCAAAGTTTGCAATTCAAATGCGGCACTATTTACGTCACTCATTTCCGAGAAACCTTGACATTGTTGTTCTTTCTCCCCAACAAGAATTTGATTGAATTCTTCAAGAACCGGATCATCACTCGTCTTCTGGCATTCCATCGTTGCATCGTTTTGGACACTATCCGGAGTGAAAGAATTGGAGACATTATCCAATTCCTGGGAAACAAACTCTTCAGGAATATTTTCAGAATTGCTCGAACTCTCGTTCAGAAACTTTGCAAAAACGACAGCCATGTCAATATCTGACCCACTGGGTTGTCCAACCGAGTCCCCATCAGAGGAAAAACCCTTGGTTTGCTCATTCACGTAATCGTCAAAGCCACTGAAACTCTTACTATAATTCACCGAAACACGTTCGTTGAGCCTCGAAGCCGACTTGGCTCTACGATTCTTGCGACATCCACCGCCCACAGGCACATTTCTGAGCGAACCCCCTTTGGTCCAGTATCTTCTACAGCCTTTGCAGAAGTACCGCGGCTGCGACAAGCTGTAGTTGTTTTAGTAACAAAACTTGGTGTTTGCAGAGGCGCAACGTGGACAATTGGGAGCAATTTCAGCTGTGGATTTATATCTCCGGTCCATTGATGGCAATGGCATTGGCATTGGAGGGCAATGCAGGATTTGGTGATCAGTATTACTAGTTGTAGCTCCTGTGAACATATTTTTGTGAGAAGTTGTGCTTAGTGGAGAAATGGGAGAGAGAGCGGGGTGATATAACATGAGAGGTGGTGAGAGTTTGAGTTGTGTTGGCTAATAAACGTGGGCGGTTGCGAACCGTCAGGGCCAAGAAAGTGGGGCAGTTTTGTGCGGGTGTGGGTGTGTGGGTGCGGGTGAGAGGGGTGAGGGGTGTGATGAGCGTGTGTGGGTGCGGGTGAGTGGGTAAGCGGTGTGATGAGTGTGTGTGCGTGCGGTGGTGTGAATGTGTGGTGTACTCTACTGTTTAATTGGCGGATTGACCGTGGGACTATGCTTCTCACGTGGCGTTTCTTCATTGGGTACTTCTAGAGAGTAATTGATGTTGATAAGTCAAACCTTATAGTTGTCATTCTTTTCTTTTTAGTATGACCAAGATGCCCTTTCTACTACGAGTATTTATTTCTTTAATTTTTTTTTTTTCAAATCAATTTGTAAATGATTAATGGAAAGGGTAACACTACATCTCTCAAATGAAATTCCAATTTTTTCATTCTAAATGTAATATTTATATATCTTTTATCACCTTAACTTTTTTATTTACATATTAAAATCACATAAAATAACATATCACTTCGAATAAAAAAATAAATTAGAAAAATATAATATTTTATAAACGAAAATATGCTATGTCTTTGAAAATGATATACACAATTTTCTTTTATATCAACTATTTTTTTTCTGACATTAAATGAAAAAAAAAAAATAAGGTTCAAAATCTAAAAGCTAGAGTATATTGTAATAAATTTAAAAAGAAAAAGTTATAATAATGAAATGGTAAAATCACATGTGAATTTAACATTTAAAGTAATCTTAAAAGAAATGTAAAAATGTTTGTATCTAATATTTTGTTTTTACTAAAAATAAATTTAATTCATTTTTCGTTTTGATTTTTCAATTGCATTTCATATTAGTTCATAATTATTTAGATTTATAAAACAGATTGATTTCAGAAACAAAAAATATAACAAATCTTTTACTGGTTTAACTAAAAGTATAATATGGAGATGGGTAGGTTGGTAATTACAGGTGAGAGAAAAAGCAAAGGAAGTCGGCAAGAATGGACTTAATGCAGTGAACTTAACTCGTGGGGATAAATGAAGGGCTAACGTTGCGGCATGTTGTATCCCACGTGCTTAATGAGCTACGTGGCACACCTGCATTCCTCTCAATTCCTTAAATTTTACAAACTTTATTAATTAAGAATTATCAATAATTGATAGCCTTGATCTCAGTTTACGACTCATTCTTGCTACACGTCATTCTCGATCTTAGTTAATCAAATCCCTCATTTTCATGGTCAACGTTTCCCATTTCCCCTACAAATTTCCTTCTCACATTTCAATATTAAACTAAGTCATCTCACTAACACAAACCATACATTTTCTTTCCTTAATTTCGTATTTGCATTTTAAGTGATTTAACCATTATTAAAACTATTAATATATATCTCAATCCCTTATATGTATATATATATTAAAATTTTCTAAAAGTTTAAAACAACTTTAAAAGATATTTAATAATTTCCGCTTGAGAGTTAACAATACCTCAACGATGATAAAATTATACCCTCATATTAACATTAATGTTGTTATTACACGTTGTTGATGTAGAAATACACTAATTAGAGTGATTTGATCGATCTTAATGGGATCAAAACTAATGTGTGCGTGATTATGAGTAATCAGCAATGTACAAATGAAAAATACAGTAAAGTAAATAACAAGAAAATTTTTAAAGTGGTTCGACGAGTTAAACTCTTAAACATACGTTCATTGTTTTTGTATTTGTTGTGAGAGTTTACAATAGTAATCTGAGAACAATTTACTAACTCATTTTCCATCGTTCGAGGAGGTTTATATACAAGTTTTGTACAAAGGAAAGAGCGAAAATAAAGGGATTACAATTAGAATTGAAATGCAACTTCGATATTCTCGCGATTGAGCGATGAGATTGTGCCAAGATTGTTGTCGATCTGATCCCTTTTGAGATATCTAGGATATGAAGTTATCTGTGAATTGGTTGGACAACTATAAGGATTGGTCACGACTAACTTATACTAGGTCAAGCTATAACTTGACGAGTTTATGCTGGGTCGGACAAACGGTTGAGTCGAGCTAGTTCTAGATTGAGCTATAATCTCGCAATTCCCTGAGCTTGAAGGAAAAGTCACACACAACACATGTTTAATATTATCAAACACAAATTGGGTACTATACATTTAGTTTATAAAAGTAAATATGAAAAATTAAGGTTTCTATTAATTGAATTGAACTAATTATAAAGATTTGAGCATGTACATTAATTGAAGTAGAAAAGTAACTTTTGATATAATCAATTAATAACTTCTTAAAAGTAACGACAAAATGACAAATTTTAGGTTCAATAAACCATCACTGGGTGGTCTGATGGTAAAAGAGCAAAATAGGGTTTTATGAGTTCTTGAGTTCGGTCTTCCTAAGCACTAATAGAGGTAATCACTAGGACTCTTACCCGACCGACAATTCCAAAGCCTTAGAGCAGGGGTGGATCCAGCCCATTTTTGGGCCACCCTCAATTTTTTTTTTAATATTAATATATATAATTTTTGAATTTTGGTCCACCCTAACAAAAATATTAATGGACAAAAATATTAATATGTAATTATTTTTTATTTTAGTCCACCCTAAAAAAATTGTCTGGATTCGCCACTACCTTAGAGGATTAGTTGAGACGCGGGTAAGCTAGTCCGGACACCCCTAATGATAAAAAAAAAAAAAATAAATAAAAAAAATAAAAATAAAAATAAAAATTGGCTCAATATTATCACTCTTTTTATAATATTATGTGGGTATATCTAATTAATCAGTTTACTGTCTATGGTTTTTCAATATTGTGTTATAAGTACATTATAAAGTAATTTTGAGATATTAAGTGTTGTATAATTTGAATCAAATTAAAATTAAGATTTAAAAGCGTGCATTAATTAAAGTAAAATAATAATATATAACACAATGAATTAATAGTTAGAATCTAAAGGACTTGATTTGCCAACATTTAGTGAGTTGTTTTAAGGATTTTCTAACACTCAAAAACTTAATCAATAAGCCTTCTTAATGAATGAATATTATTAAGCACATGCTAAATGTTAATTATAATGAAATAATCAACAAAAGTAACACCTCATAAAAAACCTAAGAGATTGGTCTGGCGGTCAAGAAAGTTTACTCCCTTAATTGATTTCTTGGGTTCAAACCAACTTAGGATCATCTATTATATTTGCAGCTTACCTTAAAACATTGGGCTTGTACGATGTTTAATGGGTTTCGGGGATTAGTTGAAGACTTGAAGTGCGTCCAAGTTTGGTCGGACAAGCTAGTCATTAAAAAAATAAATAAACAAACAAACCTTATATAAAAAGTAAGATCCCACAATTTTGTATTAGATATGATCAATGTATAATTTCCTTAAATAAATATAAAACTAATATATTAACAATTACACCAGTTAAAATTTATAATTGGGATATCAAAATTTGAAAATAACATTACTGCTATTGAATCAACAATAGTTGATCAGGAATTAAATTATGGGTGCAATAACAAAATTTGAATTACACATCTATACAAAAACATGGTGGACCTCCCAAAGGCATTTTCTCAAGAAAATTTTTCCACGATTTAAAACACATATGGAAAAATCTATGTGATTTCTAGTTTTTATATGCTATGTCACTTTCTATAATCAACACATAGCAAGTGTACACACAACCTCGTTCATTTCTCTTCTTAAAAAAATCATGAATTTAATTTCGCATGAAACACTTCTTTTCCTCATTTCAATTTCCCCCAAAACCAACTATAAGATCATAACGTCACAATCGAACAACAAAAATAAATAAAATTTGGCACACACACCTATCAATCGGTCACATACGTCAAGTTAACATTTTGTTTGATTCAATCACGTGCCTTAGTTTTCGTGAGAGATATGTGAGGATTGGGAACTTGAGGATCAGCAGCTTCCACGTCTCGATTCTCTTCCAATCCATTACAACATTTATTCTATTTACACGCTGAAGCGACCCATTTTGATTATATAAGCGACCCATTTTGATCATATAAATATCACGTGTTTGTTGTGTAAATAGCATATGAGAATGGTGAGCTATCCCAAGTATGCTTTAGGCCCACTTCAAATATTCCCTTCTCTCATCTAATGAAGTAGGCTATGATTTTGATGAATTATATTATAGGAAACATTTCTAATGTGATATTCTATATAGGAATAAATTTTATATAGTCTTAAAAAATTTTATTTCCATTTTAAGATAGTTATAAATACAAATAATCTCTATATTGTAATAAGTTGTAATTTTTCTAATTCCCGTCTTAAGGAAAGTTGCCTCTACATAGCATTAACTATTTATATATTGTAAAAAAAAATATATGTTATGTTATATTAAATGTTTAAGATAAAATAAAATATTTATCTAGAGTTGTTTGGGACAATAATTTATACTTTAGAGTTGATACCGCATCTTTTAACTTACGTGTATATTACTTGTTAACATGAACATTTTCTTATTGAAGCCAAAATCTTTCTAGCTTCTCAAGTATGTTTAGAGCTTTTTAGCACGAAATTTTTTGTATCTCTATACTATCATACTCATGATTATTTTCTTTCTATTCTTGTCTAATTGTAGCAATGCATTCTTCTTCAAATAAATCATCTATGACTTGTTGTTCATTTGAATGATTGAGAAATATATTAATATCCATTCGATTAGTGTACTAAAGTTGTCGAATATAATCACTTAATTCTATTATGACTCTTTGATTGTCATTCTCCACTTAATTTATAACTTGCAATTCATTGACATCGGGGGTCCTAATTTTGCAATGTTTAAAAAATTGGCAATTGTCTGTGGCTTCATATCAATTGATCATGCAGCAACTGTATTTACAATTCTATCAAGGACACTTATATTTGCTAGATCCAAGACACGATCTTCTATCAGTTTCAAGAGTAGGCAATTGAAGCGCTGAATTTGAAATCCTAATACTATTAAAACATGAATTTAAATTCTAATACTGTACTACTAAAACATGAATTATAAAATAATTTTTTTTTTTTTTTGTAACTACGTCTCTATTAAGTAATAACCTCTTTATTGTAATAAAATTAGTTAGTCCCACTATTATGACTATAGAAGAGATTTTACTGTATGTACTATTAGCCCCATCTTTTCTCTACTATTTAATTGAGAGTAAATTTGTAATATTAAATTTTCTATTTTAAAAGGGAAAATTTTATATACTTTCTAATATTATTTTAGAATAATAGTAGATTTACAAAGAGTTTTTACAAACTTTTTCCTACAAATTGATGTCACAAAATGAATGAATAAATGTATGTAAAAATTTAACTTAATTAAGTGTTCACTAAATATAGATGAATGCCGTGTAAATAAAAAAATAGTGCCACATTAGTTTTTACATGCAGCACCGCTAATTTTTTTTTGTAACAAATGGAAGAGATTATAGTTTATAAAAGCATGAAGATATGGAAGTTTTCAATTTGACAATGATAATCGTTGATGCGCGATTTTGACACAAACCAAACGTATGTGTGAAATATTGAGCGGGCCTAGAAGACACACGTGAATATGAGAATGAGAATGAATGCAATTGAAAACAACGTTTACAGTAGTTCAGATGCTAAGGAAGCAAATCCTACGTCCACTGCTTTTGTATTTATGATAGAGGTCAGGTCGTGTTAGCGGACTGACTTACAAATGATTATACAAGAGAGATAATGCTGTTTTTCTTTAGAGAGAGTAGCTAATCCCTTAAATGAGAGAAGAGCTCTCAATTTATAGTGGGATGGATTAAGATTATCATTACTAAATCTGTGAGTTGGTGGGATTACCCGTGCAAATCCTTCTTTATGTCTCATTGCCCACCTTCTAGAGTGATTTACGTAATTTGGTGTAGGGATTAGACACGTGGAATTACTATAGCTCCTCACTGGTCTGACGCGCACCCACTTCACTGACAGGAGTGTGCTGCTCATGTCACCACGCGACGTGACTTTTTCTGACTGGCTGCGGGCCTATCTAAGCTCTAACTTTTTATGTTGACTGAGTCTTGCGTCAGCCCTATATTTTCAGGCATAACAATAATGATAGGTGAAGAAATGAACGAAGTAAATAAACACAATTTATTCCAATAACGAATCATCAACGCGTTGAATTTCTTTTTAAACAATCATCAATGTCATTGAATTGCATCTTTTATGTTATCATTAGGAAGAAAATATTATTATGACATTTAAAATTTTTATAATATATAGACAGTCTCAAAAAACCCTTTTTAATTATGTACTGGTTTGCCGTCTCACATTGTTCTGTTGAGAAGGGGTGTGGTATATATGAGGCTATAGGCCTTAACCCAATATGACAGGTTTTGGACCCGAAGCTTATATGTTGGGAAATGAAAATTGAAATATAACATTTTGAAGCATCATTATAAGAGACATCTCAACTATAAAAGTTGTATTTAGTTTATAAAATAAAGCTAGTAGCCTAAGTAACATATTAAATGCCATCCTAATTGATCTTATATTATTATAATATTATCACCCATGAATAACGAAATGGTTGGACTTCACTTTTTCTGAAAGCATCAAATTCATTCACCATAATAAGTTTTCTTAACACAAGTACTAATTGCCCCTAACTAAAGAAATCAGAAACAATTTGGAGCTCAACAAGCGTTAACACTCAAGAACGTTGGAACCTTTCACGGTGTAACCGCGGACTTTGGGAATCAAACTTCTTTCCTCAAAAGCAATTTACGATTAAAGGGGGAGCTCTATATGAGGATTTGATCACCTCAATGAAGAGAGGAAGATGCAAGGAAGCAAAAAGGAAAGTCGGGACAGCCACAAGCATAATCATGGGTGGAAAAAATGGAAATTCTTCTTCCACACGTTCTCTCAAGTTAATGAAGAGAGTGCACCAAAGGTTACCATCATGGTCACATGGATATGAAAAGGGCCATCAACCATTGTCAATCTCCTCGCAACGAATGCAGGAAATCTTCTTCTGCATAGCGCGAAGTGAGTATGCCCAGGAACATCAAAATGGAGACAGTTCGGAGGTGAATGATTTGCATCCGATGCTGCTAAAATTTGGAAGTAATATGTGTGTTCTAAAAATGGTTTCTCCGATTGTTTACTTCCTCCTGGAATATGAATTGCGGCCTCAAACATAACTGTGGCTATGAGAGTTGCAACCAGGACAAGATGTGGCCGTGTCTTTCATCCATTTTTTGCCTTCATTTGCCAAGGCCTTTTGTTGCTCACTGAACCATGTTCGAGGCGTTTTGCCTTCTCTGTTCTGCTGTTCTCTCAACATTGGCCGCACTATATTCTCCATTTCCTGTAACAATTGAGACATTGACACAATTCAAACAAGCTGTGATTGAGGAATGAGAGTTGAGAATGATGAGATTAGACACCTTAAACCATTGCGTTCCCTCCGCATTTGCATAGCGGACGGGATTCGGTGATGTGAGAGACGGGTGCCACATTCCTGCTATATGTAATATGTTGTTACGAAATTGTCCTCTATAGAGGCAAGGCTTTTTTTTTCTACTGTCTCGTATAGGAGTTCATATTTTTTCTTGGCGCTGTGCGACTGCGGCATGGAATATGCCAACCCATTTCGTGTAAGCCATAGTAAAGCCGGTCGAATTTAATCATCTCAGTGACAAACTCAACATTCCCATATGCAGTGGCTTGAAACACGAAGGCATCACTAGAGATTGCAATGTTGGTGGAATTCAACTTGGCTAGTTCTCTAAATATACGGTTAGTATCTCGTGGCTTGACGGTGCTTGAGTTTGAGTTGTGATATGTAATTGATTCTTGAAATATATTTACCCTCAACAACCAAATAGATTATATACAACTCAAAGAAAAAAAAAAAAAAAAAAAAAAATGAAACTTTCTGTCAATTTTACAGAATATCTGCATATACCAAGTAGCTCATATGCGGCCTCCTTAAGTCCTTTCTTCCAACGTAGAGCTGTGAAGTCATTGAAATAATGGCTCATATGATCACTAATAAAGCATATTTAACCCATAAACTCAATAGCAGTAGAGACAGAGAGAGAACCTAAATTAGTGATGAGTGCACTCTGTCCAGGCTCATCACTATCTGTTTCAATATCTACTAATCTTTCGCTGCGGTAATTTGTGCTGCCTTCATCATAAAGATTGGTCACTACCCTTTCAACACGAGGGCCTAACAAAATAAAACCATCACTTAGAAATTTTCACAAACAGATTAACAAGAAAAAAAAATGTATAAAATACTCACGTCCATATATCCATCTTTGCCATCTCGCGAGCTGACTCGCACTTGGGAATGATGAACGTTTCTGGGCCAGCAAATTCAAACATGTTCTCCCCTTCAAATCCCTGGTAATGGCTAATTTCGGAAAACGTTCAAGCAGGTTCAACGCAAAACCTAAATTTGCCACAACAAACAATAGTTAGTCACATTTAGTTAATAAAAAGGCAGCGACCTATTGGTTTTTTCTAATTCAATTGAACTCACTGTAATTTTCTCACACTGATCGAAATTGACAGAAGCGTAGCGCCACTGTTACTCGTTTCAGGATTTAGTTCCTCCGCAGAAGTCTCCGAATACAAATACCGCAACATGTGCTTATCACCATAAAGAGCAGCAATGCAAACTGGGTTATAACCATTTTCATCTTTTAGACTCAGTAACTTGTTGTTCTTTTTCACCATTGCCTCCGCCATCTCAACCGACTTGCCCGTTGCAGCAATGTGAAGGGCTGTTGCACCGCCAGTGGTTCGTATTTCCAAGTCCTCTTGTGGCATCAATGGTACGAGCAGTTGACAAGATTGTCGTGCCTGTGGAAAGCAGCAGTATGGAGAGCCGTCCCGCCGTCTGTTGCTATTCGAGCACTCACTCTCTCTGGGTACCTTCCAAAAAACTTTTCGATACTTCCCTGCTCACCATTGACAGCAGCATGGTATAAAACCATATAGGGAATGTTGTTATCTTCGAAAGTCCCCGCGCTTGCAGAAATACCTGTAGAATTAAATTATCATTATTCTGGCCTAGAAACAAAACGAGTTTTCCCACAAACTTTTTTCCGACGCAAATGTTGGCGTCAGAATAAACCATCTCTCTCCACACGGTCAGGAGAAATGTTTTATTTTTTTTCTGGCGCAAAGAGAAATAATGATATAATTTTTAACATTTTCTGCATCGGAATAGGCCTTTTTCCTGTGCTATGAAGAATAATTTTCTAATCACCTTGTTTGTCCAGTGTGAGTTCAGCTTGGAAGGCTACTATGTGATCGTGCCAACGATGAATAGAGGCCAAACGATCCCAAGCGGCTTTTGCAGTTTTCTCCATGCTGATGTAGGAGAACATTATTGAACTACAAGAAACTTGAATGGCATGTAAAGCCTTTGCATTATGTTTTTCCCATGTCTTGAGAGTATACTGATCATCAGTTTTGTTTGGTTTAGGTTCACTGCCATCAACAATCTGCCATAAACCTTTCCCTGTCAAGTAGTTTTTCATGCATGCTGCCCAGCTTGTGTAATTGTTTTCTCCAAGAATAGTATGTGGCACTTTTGTCAACATTTTTCTGCATCATCATTTGATAATTTGGAATATACTCTATTTCAATCTCAATGATAATTTGGAAATAAATAGAATTAGTAAAAACACTCTATTTCAATCTCATGTTCTTCATTTGATACATTTAAAAAAACAATTAAAGGATAAGGATCCTCTCTTTGTTTGAACTCATATTTTATTTTTTAGAGGCTTATGATAAGTAAATATAAAGTTAGAATATACTAGACAAATAGATCCAAACCATAAAATAATAATAACGTATATGTATCATGAGATCCTTAAAAATTCAATTTAGCTCAGAAAAAGGGACTGATAAATATATAATTAATATTAATGGTTTAACAAACCAAAGAAACTAAATGTTTTGTTTCATCACATATTATATTAATGATCAATATAGATGAAAGAAATAATAATATATATGCATGACATAAATTCAATACAGATTTGACATACATGATAAAGTGATATATACATTATATCCAATATTACCTTTTTATTTATTTTGACAATAAACTACATAAGAAGGTAAATCGTATTGTTAACATATGAGAGAATTCAAAACTATAGAGGTGGATGTACCATATTGCTCATCAAATTGTATATATTTGTAATAATTAGATCAATAAAAGAAAAAAAAAAAAACTGTATATAGAATGATTTTATGAGATGAAAGACTAATGATATGATACATTTGTTTCACTAAAAACTTTTTATTAACATATGAATTACTATGAAGATGATTATATCAATCAAACAATGCACTACTGACATGATTTAAGAAGATTAGAAGTAAAGTATATATATGTATCTTTCAAAAAGCTGAGGAGAGGATATAAATATACTAACCTGTGATATAAGTAGTGACCGATTAGCTTCTGCTTTGGAGTGAACAAATTAATAATTCCACCAGTTGGCTTAACTATCATCATCGAGATACTTGCCTTCTATACTGAGAAACACAATGAGAAGCTTGTTTTATTCATTTATTCACATTACCAGTTCAACTTTTACTTTTGTACATAACATATAACCACTTTTTCTTTTATTTCTTGTTTTCCATTTTTCTTTTCGTTCTTTATTGATCTTTTCTACATAACATACAAATTAAAAGGGTTCTATGTTGGTTTTACTTTGACAGATAACATCTTGGATAATAAATAATAAGTGAAATATTTATTCCGAACAAGCATGACCTAATTATTTAATTATCTGTCATAGTTGAATACTTTAGACTACAAAATGCGTTAATTTTTTCCTTTCTAAACACACATACAAATAAAAAAATCCATTTAATTAATACAGAAGGATATTCTAACATTAAATTTGGACAATATAAGTTGTAAGATGATAACAAACTTATAAGATAGTCTACTTATAAAATATAATAGAGAGTCGTGCTAAATAGCCCCCACCTATGGTTCTATTAAAGCCCCATTTTCAATTTTAATTAGGACAAAAATGTAAATAATAAAAAGGAAAGATGAATGTTTAGCAATCCCCAATGCTAATACCCGGCCGGCAGAAAATTCAAACTTGATAAAAAGGTCCTTTGCAATCTCTTTTCATTTCTTCATCAATTTATTTTTCATGTATTGAAAGTAGGGGTGAACAGTTCTGGATACCTTGTATTTTTCGGGAGAACCAGAATCGAAACCACATAGTACAGGTTCTTAAATTCAAGAAACCGGAACCTAAAATGTAGGTTCTGGTGCCTTTCCCAGGTACCCTGTAAAAAATCAATTACCCCCTATTAGTTTAAAAAATAAAAAAAATACCTTAAAAGTTTATAAATACACCCTAACAAATTTTGATTACTCATTCATTTGTGTCCAATGTAAATCATAAATCCTTTAATCTCCAGGCAGCACTTGAATTCAATCAATTCATTACAATTCACATAAAATTTCTCAATCAAAACAAAGACACAAACAATTATTCATCTCTAAATTATTAATTTAATGTTATAAATTATTATTGTTTATAATGTAATATAATAATATTGTAATTAATTAAGTAATTATTTAATTATAATGTAATTTTATAATTAATTAAGTAATTATACTATACATGTATAATATAATGTTATAATTAATTAAATTTCTAATCATTTAATTAAATATTGTACTAATATTTATAATGTAATGTTATAATTAATTAAGTAATCATACTATAAATTTATAATGTAATGTTACAATTAATTAGATTTTTTAATCATTTAATTAAGTAATGTACTAATGACTAATGTAGTAAATTAATAATGTTTATAATGTAATGTTATAAATTTAAAATTAATTAAGTAATCATTTAACTATGTAATGCTATAATTAATTAAGTGATCATAATATAATGTAATGTAATAATGTTATAATTAATTACGTAATAATTTAATTAAGTAATCATTTGTTTATAATATACTATTTATCAATTAATTAGTAATCGTACTTATAATTATAAGTAATGTTAATATGTTATAATTAATTAAATTTCTATATCATTTAATTAAGTAATGCTAATTTATGTAGAAAAAAAAAAGATAAAAAAATTATTTAATATATGTCATAATCAATTAGTAATCATTTAATTATATAATGTTATAATTAATTATTTGATCATACTATAATGTAATGTTATAATGAATTAGTAATCATACTAAATCTATAATTTAATATTATATTAATTAATTTCTAATCATTTAATTAATATACTAATGTTTATAATAAATGTTATAATTGATTAAGCAATCATCTATAATCTAAATGGAATGTTATAATTGATTAAATAATCATACTATAACTCTATAATGTATGTTATAATTAATTAAATCTTTAATTATTTAATTAAGTGATGTATATATAGTACTACTAATATTATATGTAATGTTATAAATTTATAACTTATTAAGTAATCATTTAACTATGTAATGTATAATAATTAAGTAATTATAATATAATGTAATGTAATAATGTAATAATTTATTAAGTAATTATTTAACTATAATATAATGCTTAATTAATTAAATTTCTAATCATTTAATTGTAATCATTTGTTTATAATGTAATGTTATAATTAATGTTTATAATATATGTCATAATCAATAATAATCATGTAATTATGTAATGTTATAATTAATTATGTAATCATACTATATGAATTAGTAATAATACTATAAATCTTTAATATAATATATAATTAATTTGTTTATTAATTAATTAAGTAATCATTAATTATAATGTAACGTTACAGTTAATTAAGTAATCGTACTATAATTTTTAATGAATGTTAATTAATTAAATTTCTAATCATTAATTAAGTATGGTGCTAATGTTTATGTAGTAATTAATAATTACTAATGTTTATAATATAATGTTATAATCAATTAAGTAATTATTTAATTATGTATTTTTTAATTAATTTGTGTCATACTATAATGTAATGTTATAGTGAATAAGTATCATACTATAAATCTTTAATGTATATTATAAATTAAATTTTTAATCATTAATTAAGTATATAATAATGTAGTAAATTATTAATGTTATAATGTAATGTTATAAATTTATAACTATTAGTAATCATTTAACTATGTAATGCTATAATTAATTAAGTGATCATAATATGATGTAATGTAATGTTATAATTTAATTAAGTAATTATTTAACTATAATTGTAGCTTATTTAATTAATTTCTAATCATTTATTAAGTAATCATTTATTTATAATGTAATGTTATAATTAATGTTTATAATATATGTCATAATCAATTAAATAATCATCTAATTATGTAATGTTATAATTAATTATGTAATCATACTATAATGAAATGTTACAATGAATTAATAATCTACTATAAATCTTTAATATAATATTATAATTAATTTATTTAAATAGAATGTTATAATTAATTAAGTAATTTAATTAATGTTACAATTAATTAAGTAATCGTACTGTAAATTATAATGTATGTTAATATTAATTAAAATATCTAATCATTATTAAGTATTAGTTAATGTTTATGTAGTAAATTAGTAATTACTAATTTTATAATATAATGTCATATCAATTAATATCTTTAATTAGTATGCTATAATTAATTATGTGATCATACTATAATGTAATGTTATAGTGAATTAAGTAACCATACTATAAATCTTTAATGTAATTATAATTAATTATTTTTAATCATTTAATAAGTATTGTACTAATGTTTGCAATGAAATGTTATAATTAATTAAGTAATAATTATTATAATGTAATGCTATAATAATTAAATTTATAATTATTTAATTAAGTAATATACTAAATGTTATAAGTCAATTAATAAAGTAGTAATCAATTATGTAATGCTATAATTAATTATACTATAAATCAATTAAGTAATGTTATAAAATTATAATTAATTAAGTAATCATTTAACTATAATGTAATGTTATAATTGATTAAGTATGATATTTAACTAGTAATTAAATTTATTAATGTTTATCAATTTATCATATATAATTAATTAATTGTTAATTTACTATAGATATACTTAGAACTTGATAATTGAAGTAGATAACTAAATATATTATTGTTCAATCAAATATACTATTTTATTCAAAAATGATTCTTTTAATAACATTAAAACACTTTTAATTGGATCATAATTCCAATTATACACTTAATTAATCAAAACTTTAATATTAATATATTAAAGTTTTTAATATGGTGTAATTTATATGTAATAAGTATCATTGTATATTTATCTAATTAGGTTACTCTAAAATTTTAACTTTTTCTATTTTAAATTTTTTATATGTAAAATAATGAAACCCCCATTATTCACAAATATTTCATTGGAGCCCAGGTTCCAAAATAGGTTCCAAAACAGGTTCCAAAAATCGGTTCTAAACAGGTTCCAAATCGGGTACCCGTTACAGGTTCCAAGCAGGTTCCAAACCAGGTACCCGTTTAAGGTTCTTTTTCCAGGTTTCGGTTCTAGTTCCGGTTCCTCCACACATAAG